CTTTTGTGGATTTAATTTCTTAGTTTTCTTATGATGTGTTACAATTTCCATTTAATCTCAAATAATCTTGCTTCACTTCCTTTTTTGTCCCATTATTTCGTTTCATTTCTCAACTAAATAGTAAATATTGTTTAATTTTTTTTTGTGAAATAAAATATAAATTAATTATATTGAGCTTAATGCTTTTTCTTTAATGTTTCATTGACTTCAATATGATTTCTATCCAAACGATCGATAACTTTTCTGATTGTTATATGAACATGAATTATCAAATGATAATTAAGATGTAGATAATTAAAAATATATCAAGTGAAGTGAATAAAATTTATTTCCGAAATTTTAATTAACTGAATTAAACGATAAAAATTTTAGGATTTTATTTCACGAAAAAGTATTTTGTAAATAAAAGGAAAACAAATTGATATTTAGATACAATTTTTAATTCTTATATTTTTTGTATTCACTTTAACTTTCAATTATAATTTTATTTAGACAACTTATTAACCTACGTATTCTCCTTTTGTTATTTCTTTCATTTCAAGCGTAAATACACGAGATTTTCAATAAAACTGATTGAGCTTTTGTCCAACTATAAATATCTGTTTCTTATTCAAATTACTTTTACCTCCTTGCAATTTGTTATTTTTCTTATCTCACATTATAAGATTTGATTTTTGTCTTATCTTTTCAAATTCTGATAAGTTTTCAAAAGAGAGAGAACAGTAAAAATTAGTTAAATGTACTTTTTCTCGGTGCAATTGTTATTTAACTTTAATTTTCATTTACTTTCCGTACACTTCTCCATCAAAAGTGCTTCAAAATATTTGAAGGACTTTTGTTTTACTTAATAATTTGTTTTGCAAGAGCTAAGTTAAAGTTTTATTCGTTACCACTAAATATTATCATCAGAACCTATAGTATCTTCTTCAACATATTCATTATCCATGCTTTCATAGCGAGTTGATTCTTGTGAAAAGCTGCTCTGACTTTGATCCATCATTGTCCAGTCCTCTTCAATGATAAAATCATCAGGATGTCCTTCGTTTAAATAGCCGTTCCCATACACTTTTAAAATATATTACAATGCAGTTGTAACAAAAACTGTAAAATTATTTTAATCAAAATAGTTTCAACTTACTCTCAATATATTTTTGGTACGATTTCGGAACCATCATTTTGAGCTTTTCAATATCTTCCGGTGTTGATTCACCTTTATCCATTCCTAAAACGAAGACATTTAGAATACGAAAACAAAGTTTTGGAGACAAATATACCTAGCAATAAACCCATTCGTTTAAGAACTTCAAAATCGTCTTGAACTTCAAATTTATCATCGAATTTAAGCAAATATTCTCGTCTATATTATTTGAAAACAAATTGAAATTTTTTGATTTTTTTTACGTTGAATAAAAAGCGTTGTCATTAATTAAAACTCACTTGTCATTCGAAATGTTGCAGTTAATATGAGTTTTTTTATTTGTGTTGATGACAATAAATGGCAGTTGAACAGCAGCACTCACGGATGGAACTATTCCACGCTTTTCCAAATCCTTGTTTCGTTCAATGAGACTTTTGAAGGATACGTGCTAATTGTATTAAGTAAACGTTATTTTATTTAAAATCAATTCATTAATGTGAAGAAATCTTGTAAACAAAACCAAGAGTTATTTATCGACTTACTTTTAAAACGAGCTCACGTAATTGTTGTTGTTTTTCTTCAATTCTTTTCCTAGCTTGTTGATTCTGCAACTCAATTTCTTCACATTCCTGAGCTGAAGATGTTGGCAAGCCAATCCATTTGATTTCCTTTTTCTCCTTTGAGATTATGTTCATGGCCATGAGAACGTTCAAAGCGTCATACCCTCGACGACGAATATTTTTTTGATCATATGATCCATTTCCACTGTTTCCAGTATCCTCACTTTCTTCGGCTACCAATTCATCAGCTACTTCATTATATGATGTCACACCCTTTTCTTTAACTTTTTGACAGACCCGCATCGAAAAATGACGCAATCCTTTTCCAGGTTTTTCATTGCGTTTTTTATCTGATTTTTTGTTGTAAATTGTTGTTGTTGATTGAGAAGCAATAGACGATGACAAGGATTGAGATGAATAGCTATGGTGTTGTGAAGCAACTGAAGTTGACGATACACTGAAAGATTTGATAGTTTTTCTTTCAAAATCCTTATTCTAAGTATTTATTGAACGTTCGTTGATTTACCTTCTTTTTTGTGATGGATATTTGTATGATACTGACCTTGGCAATGGTTTTGTTGCAGGACTTTCCACTTTCTCAATTTTCTGTTTAATAATTTTGAATTAATTATAAGGTACATATATCCTTTTACATATTGAACAGTACAACTTACAATATATGATTTATTATAGCCGCTTGTTTCAGCCATCGGGGATGAAGATTGTATCGTTTGATAAATATATTGTGGTTCTGTTCCGGATCTCTAAAAAATATCCATTATGATGATATATAAACTGTAAGATCGATATAAGGGTACGTTATAAAACTTACAGATTGAATTGCAGAGTTTTCCTTTTTTATTCCAATTTGAGAAGGGGAAGAAGCTATAAGTTGTTTTTTGCCTAATGGAACAAATTGCAAGAGATTTATTAAACAACCTAATTGTTTTTAAATATATTGCTAAATAGTATATTTGACTTATAATGCAAATTATCAGTAAAAAACATAAATTTAAATGATTTCGCAAAAATGAATAATTTTTTCGTTTTAATTGAAACTTTAGATTTTTGTCAGCTGTAGACATTTTTTTTCGGTATCTTTATATTTTTATAGATTGTTATTACAATATTCCGAATATTCTTGGTGACATTCTGAACTAAGTATGATGAAATCTTAATATCTGACTATTAGAAAATGAAATGAAAACTAAAATTAATGAGAAAATGCATTTAAATCCTTCAAAAGCACATGCTAGAATTTGACAACTTGAAATAAATTATAAAACTCGTAGCGTTTCCATTAATTGTCTCTTAGATGAACCAAAATTCTTACAAATTATTAAATGTTATTCCTTCACGCAATCAGAGTTTCACTCATTATTTTAATTTATATCGAAATTCTAGGCAGAATGAAGCATTTCGAAGCAATTATTAAAATGTAAGATACGGAAAGAAAAACTAGAAAATTCCCTCGCAAATTTTCTTTTAATGTTTACAGAGACAACAACCTAAATGAATGTATTACCATTTGCACCTTCCACAAGTATGTAACGAGGAGTTTGGCTGCTCATATTTTATATGTTTCTGTTTTGCTTGAAACCCAAAAACTCACTTTTTTAATAAATTTTCACGTCTTATTTTTTTGTATAATTGAGTAAGCTTTACAGAAAAGCCACAACTTCGCCACTTTAAGATTATTTTTTATTTTTATTCAAAAGGGGTGTAACACTAAACACTTGTGTATAGATTTTTGAAGACTATTGACAAAAATTAAATTGCATTTAAAATGACATCCCACCAATAATGACTACTGTACCGGTTGGAGCGGGTGAGGATCGAGCTGGAGGGGNAATGAGATTTGTGAATTATAAGAAAGTTAAATAAAGAAGTTTATAACGTTCAAATAAGTGTTTCTTTATCATAAAACCACGCCGGAACAACTACATCGATGTTTTATAATACTAACCTTATTTAGTTCAATATATCTAACTTTTAATACAGATATATAATATTTTACATAGATATTTTCAATTTTCAATGATATGCCGCGCGATATTTTTTTCTAACAAGACCGAATTTTACATATGACGAAAGTATACTGAATAAAGAGAGTGCTGAAGTTTTTTTCTTAAGTTTTTGGAAATATTGGTATTAAGAAAGTTATAAACGAAAATCTAAATTTTTCAATTAGGATTCTTTAAATTATAAGGTATAAAAATTCGTATTGAAGAGTCAACATAATAATGAAACCTATAGCTGCAGATGAAATGTTTCCTGAAGGAATTGACATTGAAGACGTAAATATACTTTAAAAAAAATGTTTATTTAAAAATAAGAATTGATTCAATTTGTTTGATTTTAGAGTGGAAATTCTGGACTTATGCTTGATTTAGCTGCAAGCGAGAAGGATGTTCATGCTGATTTTTATAATGGTACATTTTAAAGAACTTCGAATTGAAGAAAATATTTTAAGAATATTGTGTATAATATGAACAACAAAACATTATTTCTTTTAGATTTTGATGACTTATTCGATGAAGATGATCTTTGAGTCATCTACTTGATACGCTTTGCCTCTTGAACTTAAATAAATACACATAAGATCATGAAATATTAATGCTCATTTAAATCGTTTTTCTCGACATGTTAATTTTATTAAGTAGAATATATATTTACAAACGAATTTGTTTAACGAATTTGTTTAATAATATATTTAAATAAATTTTAAAAAAACTCAAGCTTTTCTAAATTTCTTTATTGTGACCAAACTTTTAATTTATTCCTCGTACGACACTAAATAATAAACGGGGTACTTTCTAAGAGCCTTCTATATTCCTTCAGTCCCCTCAAAACAATAAAAGAAGTAAGATGGGTAACTTTAATATAAACAAAATGCTTTTACCTATGAAGGCACATTATTATCTATTTAATGCAGGTAAGGAAAGTGCATAAATTTGAAATAAAATTATAATCCTAAGTTCTTGTTTTTAATTTTTCTTTCATCTTTTACTATTTTTTTTCAGGGACTGCACCAGTAGTCCCATTCATACCCGTTCTTGCAAAACAGCTAGGATATCCTGCTTCGGTTATAGGAATAATCTATTTTGTGCTTCCTGTCGTAGGAATGTTAGCAAAGCCAATTTTTGGTGCAATAGCAGATCGCTTTCACCGTCAGAAGTTTTTGTTTATATTTTTTCAATTTCTAATCATAATTTCCTTTACCGGTATTTTATTTGTTCCAAAAATTCCATCCAATGGTGAATTCCATTGTCATGAAGGAGAAAACTTAATGAAAATGTGCTCAAAAAAAAATAACAATTCGAGCTACTGCATTAATGAAACTAATATTGAAGCTCAAACATACAAATGCTCACTAAGCTGTCTAAGAAACGAGCAATGGCATTCAATCTGTGAGAGTTGGAAAGTTAAAGACATTTGTGATTCTACCGATAAAAATATAAACATTGAAACGAATGTTTCCTTTGAAAAGAAGTCCATTTTCAATGATTGTTTATATTTGTTTATTCATAATGGAACTATCAAAAACCAAGAGTCTACATTGTACTGTCCATCAAGTCATAAAGATGAGCCTGTAGTTAAAATGAAATGTGATATGATATGTAATGATGATACTATAAATGAAGTATTAATAGGAGCAACAGACATAGAAGTAAAATCAAGATATCAGTTTTGGATTTTCTTCTTCCTTCTAATCATAAGTTGGACTGGAATGGCTGTAGTAGTGTCAATAGGTGATGCAATATGTTTTGAAATGCTAGGAGATAAGCCTCAACGATATGGTTATCAACGATTGTGGGGCTCTGTTGGTTGGGGTACACTTTCAATCATTTCAGGACTTTTGATTGATAAATTTTCTGAAGGACAATCTGTGAAAAACTACACTGTTGGTTTTTTGCTCATGGGAGTAATTATCTTTCTTGACATGGGAGTTTCAATGAAACTTAAATATACGCAAGTCAAGATTTCACCGAATATTTTAAAGGATGTGACTCAAATATTTGCATCTTTTCGAGTTATCATATTCTTCATTTGGTGCATCGTAATTGGAATGGGAACTGCTTTAATTTGGAACTTCCTCTTTTGGCATCTAGAAGAGTTAGGAGAAAAATCTAATTGTGGAACTGGAGATTCTATGAAAACTTTACAAGGTCTAGTAATGGGTATACAATGTTTTGGAGGAGAACTTCCTTTCTTTTTCATCTCTGGAAGGTTACTTAAAAAAATTGGACACGTCAATGCTATGAACTTGGTGTTATTTGGATTTGGTGTTAGATTTTTCTTCTATTCTATTCTCAAAGACCCATGGCTTGTTTTGCCAGTTGAGCTCCTTAATGGCATAACTTTCGGAATATTTTATGCAACAATGGCCAGTTATGCAAGTATCATTGCTCCGGTTGGTACTGAAGCGACCATGCAAGTATGTACATCCATATACATTAATTTCACTGTTGCAGTTTTAGTCATACAATATTTTTTATTATAGGGCCTAGTTGGTGCTGTTTTTGAAGGCATTGGAGTTTCCACAGGAAGTATTATTGGTGGAAAACTGTTTGAAAATATTGGAGGTTCTAATACTTTCAGTATTTTCTCCTATGGTGCCTTCATATGCTTATTGGTTCATTGGATAGTGCAAAATATTATCACCAAAATTTATGGTCGCTCTGGTAAGAAATCAATTGTTGAAAATGATACCAAAAACCCCAAAGAGATCGAAGGCGATGGGCAAAACGCTGATTCTCGTGTTCAGTTGGATGAGAGTTTCAAAGAAATTGATTTAAATGCCTAATTTATTCGATGCTTTTGTAGTTGTTTTTTGGCTAATTTTCCTTTTTTACTTTCCAAAAAAGTCGTAACCGTAACCATCATGGAAATGGTTTTTAAGTTTTTGACCAAACAATGCTAATATTGATTGAAAGCAATTTACGAAAATAAATGCAATGATGTTGATGATATTAAAGCTTTTTCTTTATTTTTTAAAAGTTTTGTGTAAATATTTATAAATAGATAGTATTACCTAAATTGTAAAGTTTGGTGAAGAGTATTACAGTATTAGAGTATACTGTATGGTTTAATCCACTCTAAAATGATAAAATTATTTTACTGATGAGACTTTAAAATCTGTTTTAAATGTCATTAAATGTACGCTTCTAGATATTAGAACGAAAAAATTAAAATTTTCTAATTAGATATTTTTAAATCTACTTTTATTACAGATATGCGAAACGAGTATCAAGAACCTTACAATTCTATTGCAACTGAGGCTTTCTCAATATTAGACGATAATGATTTACAAACTCCTTCCAACAAGTAGTTATTAAGCGATGGTCGGTAAGAGTAAAAAAAGGCGATATTCATCTAAGCCCTTATCTTCAGTCAAATGTACTTGAGACTCTTTTATCTAATAAAAGTACTTAAGATAAGAATATTTTATTAACGTGACGAAAATTAATATGACGAACATATAATTAAGATTATAGGAAAATCTCTTTTCTTGGGATATAGGTATGTACATTTTAAATATTTAAATCACTATTTCGTAATAAAAACAGAAAATAAATGTGCAGAAACAAAACAAATAGAATTCCAAACGTTTTATCGAATATAAAAAAAATTCTAAACATTTATCAACTTTAGGATGTCCATAATTCTATCTGATACTGATGAATATGAAAAACAGATTATAATTTATTGGAAATCTCATACAAACTTACAAATATTTCCACATATGTATTATCATTCCAAATACTATCATTAGTAAGAAGTAAGTTTTAAAACATCAAAAACTATTTGAGAAATCAAATTTTTTTATTCATTTATTTTATTCAATAAGATTCATTAAAGGATTATTAAAGAATGTTGTTGGTTTAACATTTAACAGACAATAAAAATTTGAACACATAAATTATGTCTCCTTACTTTTTGTATTGATCCGTGACAAACCCCTGTTGAGATCAGCTGTTTTTGAGTAACATGTAAACAAAAGTTAACATAAAAACATGTTGCGAACCTGTAAAAGCTTCTCTCGCGTTAACCAGTCATATCACCGTTTTCTTACCAGCTCTGCTAAAACTTATAGTAGTGAAGTTGTGTTTAGCAATGGGTAATATAAATATTCAAGTGGCTTAATTAAGATTATATGTAAACAATATTAATATGCTGGTTTTTGCTTATTATCATAATTTTAGAAGAAAGATTGAAATTAGTGTGGGACAATTGGCAAAGTTCGCAGATGCTTGCGCAGTTGTAAAAAATGGTGAAACCGCTATCATGTGTACTGCAATCTCAAAACAAAAACCTTCGACAACAGCTTCATTCCTGCCATTAACCGTCGATTATAGGTTAAAATCATCAGCAGCAGGAAGAATACCAACAAATATGATGAGAAGAGAGTTCGGTAGGATTTAATTTCAAATCATTTATTTATATCATAAAAACATAATCATTGCTAAATATTTCATGATATTTTAGGTACAACAGAAAGAGAAACTCTTTCAGCAAGATTAGTCGATCGATCCATCCGACCATTGTTTCCAAAAGAGTTCAGATGTGATACTCAACTGGTATGCAATGTTCTATCGATTGATTCAATGAATAAACCAGATGTTGATGCTATTAATGCAGCTTCAGCAGCTCTTCACTTGAGTGATATTCCTTGGAATGGTCCTATTGGCGCAGTGCGAGTTGGAATGGATGGCCAAGAAGGAAATGTTATAACAAATCCTACAAAACGAGAGCTTAAGGATTCTCCTCTTGACTTGATTGTAGCAGCGACTAAGCAAAATCTTGTTGTCATGCTTGAAGGAAAAGGAAATGTTGTCTACATTCAAGATCTTTTAAAAGCAATTAAACATGGAACTCGTGAAGCTCAGCTTATAATAACACAGATAGAAAAAATGAGAAAAGAGCTAGCGTTGTCACTTAAGCAAAAGCGTAATTCACAGTTCGAGTCTGTGAAAAAATTAGAAATTACAGAAGAAGTTAAGGATGCAATCAGCACAATGAGTTCAATAAAAATAAGAAATATCTTTAAAGATTCTAGTCACGATAAAATCAGTCGCGATAATGCATTGAACTCACTTCGACAAGAAATCGCAGAAAATATTTGGGCAAGCTTCCCTGATCACGATTTAACACAAATCAATGAAACAATTAATGAATTCATAGCAAAAGAGTTCCGATCCGTAATATTAGACGAAAATCGGCGATGTGATGGTCGTGATTTTGATGAATTAAGAAACATTTCCTGCCAGGTTGATCTTTTCCGACCTCTTCACGGATCTTCATTGTTCACACGTGGCCAAACGCAAGTTCTTTGTACTGTAACACTTGATTCCAAGGACAGTGCACTTAAGTTGGACACATTGACGGCACTTGATAGCGGTATTAAAGAAAAAAACTTTTTCCTGCATTATGAATTTCCACCATACGCAATCGGTGAAATTGGCAGAGTTGGTATTGTAAATCGTAGAGAGCTGGGACATGGAGCTCTTGCTGAGAAAGGTTTACTACCAATAATTCCTTCAAATTATCCATTTACCATTCGTCTCAATTCGGAAGTCCTCGAGTCCAATGGATCATCTTCAATGGCGACAGTATGCGGTGGTTCCATGGCTTTGTTGGATGCTGGTGTTCCCATTTCGTCAATAGCAGCTGGTGTTGCAATAGGATTAGTCACAAAGTCAAAAAACGATGACACCAAACATATTGAAGACTATCGAATATTGACTGATCAACTTGGAATCGAAGATTATATGGGCGATATGGATATGAAAGTGGCAGGCACCAAAAAAGGTTTCACTTCAATACAAACTGATGTAAAAGTACCGGGACTGCCATTAAAAATTATTAATGAATGTTTGTTAAAATCAGTTGAAGCAAAATCTAAAATAATTGATATAATGAGTCAATGTATTGATGCTCCTCGTGATGTTAAAAAGGACTCATGGCCAGTATGTGAACAACTTACAATTGAATCCCATCAAAGATCAAGAATTATGGGTCCTGGTGGAATCAATTTTAAAAAAATTTTCCTGGAAACTGGCGTTCAAATAACAAATATTGAAGACACATCTTATGAATTATTCGCCCCGTCAAAATCAGCTCTAGATGAAGCAAAAGAGTGGATTGAACAACTGAGAATGACGGAAAGAATACCAGAACTAGAATTTGGGGCGATTTACACTGCAAAAATTGTTGAACTTAGAGAGATAGGTGTAATGGTAACATTATATCCTTCAATGCCTCCAGCACTATTACACAATTCACAGTTAGACCAAAGAAAAGTAGCTCATCCATCTGCACTTGGTCTCTCTGTTGGCCAAGAAATTCCCGTCAAATATTTTGGTCGTGATCCCGTTAGCGGCTTAATGAGATTATCTCGGAAAGTTCTTCAATCACCAGCGTCAGCAATAGTGAAGAATTTAGATAGAAAACCTGATTCGATTGCATCTTGAGAAAAACAATTAAAATTTTTATCTATCTAAATAAAAAACCAAATAGAGATACAAACAAACAAACTTATGAGTTTCGAAACATATTTTGAGAGTTTAAACGTCATTTGTTGAGAAATGTCCATTTAAGATATAAGAAATTGTCGTCCATATGTAGAAATACTTTTAAGCAATATATTGAAAATAGGAGAATACAAGCAAACGTCGCCAAGCTTCCAACTTTCCATAACACAAGATTTCGTATTCGCAATGCTTTTGTGCGATACAAAGAAAAGCCGTGTGAAAAGTATTTTGTGCTCGGGCATTTTCGTGTTCGTCGCTTTGTTTTCGGAGTTTCATCGTCGATTATATAAAAAATACAAAACAATTAGCTTCGCATTAGATGTTCAGAATTTGTTCCTTGCAGACAAATATTTTTGGGCAGCAGTGTTTAGAATCTTGCTTTGAAAAGTAGAAGTGCTTTAAACTTAAATAAGGTTTAATTTCTAAAAACATTTGAAAATGGTGAGTGTTTTGTTTTAGTTAATCTTAATTTATTCCTAATATTATGAAATGCCTTCATTAATTTGAAAATAATTGAAGATTCAGTATTAAACATTTATGTTAAGTATTGCTTCTAATTTAAAATATTTCTTTCATAGAACTTCGTATTATGTACTTTTATGACAAATTTGCTTCCTGTTTATAAATGTTTCCTAAATTGTTTTAGTAGGTATTTAGAGATCTTTTAATATTCTTCCACAAATAATAAAAACGAGACCATTCGAAAATAACTCCTACCGGGTCAAAAATTTAAAATGTTAGAGTTCAAAGTTAGTCAGTCAAAGTTAGTTAGTCAGGAGATCGAAAACATTTTACAATGAAATAATCTTCATCAAACGATTAAAAATTAAAAATTCAATCGATTATTTATCAAATTTATTTCAATAGTTGTTGCTTGACTCAGTTTGCTCATAAAACATCAGATTCAATTGGATAATTTGACATCCAATTACCCAAAACCACTTTCAGTAACCAATTATCGGTTTTTTCAATTTTAGAAAATTCCAAAAAAGCTTCAAATGATTAATTAATTTCAGACAAAATTAAAAGTAATAAGAACAGCTTTGACAAATCAACCATATGAAAATACCTATAAAATGAGACCAAAATATAAATCTGCCTATCTATTGTATTCTAAGTTGGGTTGGTTAAAAGAATGAATGATTATTGAGACAAACCAATCTTATTTGCATAAAAATTCCATTCAAAATCTGTTTGATTTCAAAAGATAGAAAAAAAACTTCTAGATAATAAACTTATAACATTAAATTATGACTCATGTGTTTTAAAGTTCTTAAAACCAAAATCACATACCATCAAATGTAATGAGGCATGAAACACATTTTATTATTAACTTCTGAAAGTCACGAATTGTTCTACTTTTCTTGAAAGAGCAACAAATTTAATACCTACTCTAAAAAAATTTCTCTTCTTATATTAATTAAATATATGAATTTGGCTCATTTACCCTCTATTGTGTGATTTAATTGACCGTCACGTGTTGAAGGAAATATCATGGCGAAAAAAGTGGAAGCTCTTGTTTCGAAAGTTTTTTTTATTAAACCCTTCTGTTATACGTAATAACGAACACAAAAATTCTTACTCTTCGTCATTTAGTGCCAACTTGTGTCGTTTACTGATTGTTTCAAATCTTAGGTGTGTAGTAATATCGTTTTGTAGATTTTTAGGTCATATTTTACTACATTCATGTCGAGAAAAGCTTACGATTGAACTTAATATATTCACTAATACACAGAATTACTCTAAGGATACAAACATAAGCTCCATTACATTTATCCTTAGAGTATCTATAAATTCAAATAAATAAAACTATTTTCTTAGATGTAAAAAACCTTTATCTTAAAATCGAATACCTCGTGCGACTTGTCTTAACCGCTAAACTAGGCTGTGAGTGACTAATAAATATTATTCAATTATAAAACAGAAATTTTTTTTGAGTAAAAGAGAAAAAAAACAGAAGGAGAATTCCAAAAAATTAAGACAAAGTGTCTAGAAATTTAAAAGTTTTTTGAACTTTTGCGAATATGCTTTATTGATCCTTTTAAACAGATTTTTTGAAGTCTCTTTTAATTGATTAATTCTCTTGTTTTATCGATAGCGTGAATGTATTTCAATTCATATCGGACAAGCCGGAGTTCAAATCGGCAATGCTTGTTGGGAGTTATACTGTCTCGAACATGGTATTCAACCTGATGGACAGATGCCTAGTGATAAAGTGATTGGTGGTGGTGATGACTCCTTTAATACATTTTTCAGCGAAACCGGAAGTGGAAAACATGTCCCTCGAGCAGTTTTCGTAGATTTGGAACCAACTGTAGTAGATGAAGTTCGTACTGGAACTTATCGTCAATTATTTCATCCTGAGCAATTGATAACAGGGAAAGAAGATGCAGCCAATAATTATGCTCGTGGTCATTACACTGTCGGAAAAGAGATTGTTGATATTGTTTTAGACCGTATTCGTAAGCTTGCTGATCAGTGTACTGGTTTACAAGGCTTCCTTGTTTTCCACTCATTTGGAGGTGGTACCGGTTCGGGTTTTACATCTTTACTCATGGAACGTTTATCTGTTGATTATGGAAAGAAATCTAAATTAGAGTTTTCAATCTATCCAGCACCTCAGGCAAAACATACATTTTATATTTGAAATCTCTCATCAATAATATCATTTTTATAGGTATCAACAGCTGTGGTTGAACCATATAACTCAATTCTTACAACTCACACTACACTGGAACATTCGGATTGTGCTTTCATGGTTGACAATGAAGCAATCTATGATATTTGTCGTCGAAATTTGGACATTGAACGCCCAACCTATACCAACTTGAATCGTTTAATCGGTCAAATTGTATCTTCAATAACTGCTTCATTGCGATTCGACGGTGCTTTGAATGTCGATTTAACAGAATTTCAAACCAATTTGGTTCCTTATCCTCGAATACATTTTCCTTTAGCAACTTATGCTCCAGTTATTTCAGCTGAAAAGGCTTACCACGAACAATTGACCGTCGCTGAAATAACGAATGCTTGTTTCGAACCAGCAAATCAAATGGTTAAATGTGACCCCCGTCATGGAAAGTACATGGCTTGTTGTATGTTGTATCGCGGTGATGTTGTTCCAAAAGACGTCAATGCTGCTATTGCTACCATTAAAACAAAACGATCAATTCAATTTGTTGACTGGTGTCCAACTGGTTTTAAAGTAGGGATCAATTATCAGCCACCGACTGTTGTTCCAGGCGGTGATCTTGCAAAAGTCCAACGGGCCGTATGCATGTTGTCAAATACGACAGCAATAGCCGAGGCATGGGCACGCTTGGATCATAAATTTGATCTTATGTATGCTAAACGTGCATTTGTTCATTGGTATGTTGGAGAAGGCATGGAAGAAGGAGAATTTTCTGAAGCTCGTGAAGATTTAGCAGCATTGGAAAAAGATTATGAAGAAGTTGGGGTTGATTCAACTGAAGAAGTTGGAGAAGGAGACGAATATTAAACTATACAAATATCAAATGTATTTTTTATACTGTGGACGCTTTATGAATGCATGCTCTATAAGTACAAAAGCTCTATACCTGGGCCTATGTTCAGTTTGCATCTATGAAGCGTGTACTGTATTGAACGTTTGTTTATTTGGTAAATATGGAAAGTTTCCAAATGGTTTAATCAGAAATACTAAACTTTCCAAAATTTTTAAATTGTTTTACTCATCAAGAACTAATTCACAATCTAAACAAGATCACCAGCTAACGCAATCACAGAAGTCGTTAACAAGTTATTTATATTTATGAATTCACGTTAATAAAATTTTAAATTTCATCGCTAAATTTGTCTTTCTTCTAGTAGAATTTTACTCAATTTCCATAACTACCTAGTGTACTTTTATTACAGGTACAAATGACGAAAGAATGTTCTATAAATTTTTTTCTATTTTGTTATTGTATCATTTTATAATTCAATCTGATATTAAACAGTAATTCAATGGAATAAAGATTCAAAATTGTATTTCTTTTAACAAACACACAAAAAAATTAGCAATTTATTAAATTCTCGTAATCGCAAAAGTAAATTTTTATGAATAAATTATGACATATCTAATTCTGCTTTTCAATAATTTTTCAGATTTTATTGATTATTAAAGGATTTTCCCATAAATTTCTATGATGAATAATTTGGATATTCACATAACTATCTAAGTGATATTATTTTAAATTTCAAAAATCGATCTAATTGATTATTATCTACTCTAATCGTTCTCCTTTAAGTTTTAAGCCAACGAACATATACATAAAACATTTAAAATCTATTTATTACCTATTTCTTTTTATATTATTGTCATACAGGTTCCTATGCCATTGTAGTTGTTGTTTTTATATTAGCAAGTTTTCGCGCCAAAATCTGGATCAATTCTTTATATACTGCTCTCTTAATTTTTATGTTCTTTCGGTTTAACGTTCCGTTTCAACATTTCCTTTATATATAAAGAAATATATTAGGTACTTGGTAAATGTCGACAGTGTTCTTGCAAGAT